GCCTTTATCTCAATCAGGACACCCAGACAAAATGTAAAGTTTAGTGGTTTTATTTTCTCTTTTTATTATATTTTTATTAACCATTTTTAAGAAAGGAGAAAAAAAAGGGGGGGCAAATAAAGTGAATAAATTGTAAATTTACAGGTATAAAATCAGGTAGACATTTCCAGTTATTTAATTAGTGTTAAACAACTGAATAGGTTACATTGTTTTAAAAACCCATTGATTCAAGTAATATATATCAAAATCAAATCAAAACAAGTTTATTACAGACAAATAATATATATCTGTATTTAAATCAACATAGTCTGATTCATAAGAAAGAACTATAGTACATCCCATTTGAGCAGTTGGAAATCTTTCCTCATTTAACAGATCATTGAAGGTCAGAATATTAAGATTTCATGTTAAGTGAAATCCAAATTTTAGCTGTGGTACATGCTCATAAAAAGTAAAGATTTATTATTTAACTATGAATATCTGTACATCAAATTCAAATATGAATTTTTAACATTAAGGTGAATTTCCATCACTTAATTAGTGATTCTTCTGCAAAAAAAGAATTGAATATATTTTCAATGGGAGTAGTTGCCGTGTTGCATTTTGGTATATTTTGTTGGAATGTGAAGTTTTGTAATGTATAATAAAAAGAGCAAGTTAAAAAGGAAACCCAGCTTTTAGAATTTGATACATTCTGTTAGAAATTATTTTCCAAAATGTTTGAGCTTTACAACACTGCTACCAAATATGGAAAAAAATATCCAACCTGTTGTTAACATTTCCAACAATTTTTAGCAAATGGTCTGTCCATTATAGCAATCAGTAATGGAATTATATGCCAGCAGTAAAACATTTTATACCACTTTTCTGTAAGTATATTTTGTGTAATAGATTTTTTTCACTGAAATTGTCAAAATTGCATACCAATTATATCTAAATTCTGCATCCATCTAAACATACAGTTTTTAACTTGTTTGTTAAAACTTGTGGTGAGTCATATTTCACCAACAGTTTATAAATAAGAGCCAAAAATTCTCTGAATTTTGTTTTATAAATATAAATTCTATGTGTTTCTTTGGGTTTCTGTATTCTTTAAAGCTATTTCATTCATTTGAAGATATTGAAACTATATGTGTGATTCTGGTAAATCTACATGTTAAAAAGTTTCCATATTTGTCTTATTAATGAACGTAGGCAATGTGATTTGTTACCTTTCCACTGAGAAAATTTGCATTTTCCTTTTTTTGTGAGAATTTTGAGGCAAAAGATGAAATTGTAGACTGATTCTTTTTTAATTTATTCCAGACTTTAGATATACTGCTTATTATCGCATTATCTCTTATAAACTGTTTATTTCTATTAGTTCAACTAAATGCAAAGTTTCATTCATTCCTTCATTTTGTATAAAATCCATCTCATACCAGTGACTTTGGGCAATTGATGCAAGAGTTGGTCATGTACATTTTTAAAACATTATCTCTGCAAAAAAACACCAATATATATTTACACAGCAAGGTTTACCATTCTCTTTCATGTCTGCAGTAGAAAATTTAAAAAGATGAGACTGATTTCCTGATGCCTGGATTGGTCTGATTTATGTGATATTACTTTTTGTCAACTCTTAGCAACCACATCGATTTCCACCCCCACCCACATGATGATGTATCAGTAACCTTTCAGGTCCCCTGACAATATATTGATTGCCACTGTAACACCTTGTTGCTGGTCATCCTCTTTCCTTTCATCTTTCTAAGCCTTAGAAACTTCTCCAGAGAATTAAGTCTTTGCACAATATGTCTGAAGTAGGATAATTTGAGCTTGGTCGTTTGTATCTTGAGGGATAATTCTGGATTGATTGTTCACTAACCCATTTGTTTATTTTCTTGAATGTCCACAGTATTCTCAGGAGTCTTCTTCAACACCAAAGTTCAACAGTGTCAGTACTCTTCCTATCCTGCTTCCAAAGTCCATCATTGGCTTTACTACTTCACAGGGCTCCAAAGGAAAGACAGGATTAATATTTCCATACTCTAAAACTCTCCTGCAGAAAATAGAGTATAAGCAGAAAATAGAATATAAGCAGAAAATATAGAGTATGTTGAACCTGAAAGTATATAAAAGTTTGTATGGAAATGTATATTCAAAAAATTGAGAGCACATTGCATCTACTATCAAAAATGTTTGCTTATGTTGGCATTTTTGTTAACAGTAAAGTGGCTGCCATAATGTGTGACCAGATAAGTTTGTTCACTTCTTTAATTCCTTAAATTTTTCTTTCCTTGTCTCTGGGAAGTGGAATGGGTCAACTCGCCATGTCCATCTTGCTGCCGTCATCTCACTGCAGCCATGTCTCCATGACCAACTCACTGCAGGACACATGGTGAGTTGTCCTGCAGTGAGATGGTCACATTGGGTTGGTTGCAGCTAGATGACCACGACAAAATGTATGCAGTGAGTTGGCCATGGTGTCCAAAAGCCTCCAGGGAGGTAGAAGTGCTTGTAGGTTGAGTGCTAAGCTAAAGCCGCTAACCCCTTTCTGTCTTTAGAATGATAATGGGCTCATTTTGGACTCCAGGACACATTTCGAAGTATAATAACTTGCCAAAATCTTATGCTTTGTTTACTGTGTGCCAGCTTTCCTGTTAATTTTTGTAATTGTTGTTTGAAAAATGATATTTAAAAAAAAAAACTGAGACATGAAGCCCAATGGTTGGGTCTGGAAATTGTATACAGACATAGTGGTGCTGAAGAACATTGTTTGGAATAGGCAAAGGAAACAACTTTGATTTATTGTCCATAGTGGTTTTTTCCCTTTTATTTTATTGCTTGATTTTTCATTTCTTTCCACTGTCTTTGCTGTTGTGCTTGCTATGTTAAGAACAAATACACTTTCAGGGAGAGAAACAAATAAGATAAGATTAGCAGCAGATGCATCGCTGGAAGAGCTTCAGTAATTAATACTTGTCTTTAGATGTGACTGTTGCTGGGTTTTTAAAAAAAATATAATTTCCTTTGCAGCTTTGAAAGACTGTCTGTCCTGTTGACTGACTGAGAATAAAATCTTAGTTATTAAATCATGTATAGATGAATTTGTGAAACAGAGATGAGGCCAATGCCTGTGGCACTCTGCCAGCGTTAATCAGGTTATAGAAAGGTTGCTTGTTTGCATGTGGAAAAAGCAAAGGGGATTGCTTGCCTTAGTTTCTGCCCGGGATATGCTGATAAGAGGAGGGAATGTCAGTTTGACCTAATTCTTCCAAAAGAAGCAGAATATCAGAAGACTTTGTCCCTCTAGTTTTGGATATACCTTCCATCTGAATCATTCAGCATTGATTGGAAAGCAATAAATTCAAGCGGACAGCTTATTCATTGAATATGATTTATGTATCTTTGCGGGCTGGACAATATGCTGCAGAGCAGTTTGATTAAATCTGATTCTGAACCCTGATAATACTCCAAGATTTATAAAGTCACTTAGAGCTTTATTGGAAAATCAACAGTCCCTAGCATTCAGGCTATACAGGTAGCACTTGACTGTTCAAGATGCCTAGTGACTGTTTGAGATTACAACTGACCTCAAAAAAAGGAGACTTATGGCCCAGATGCAAAGCTCGCATGTTCAATCCCCCTCCATAGTCACATGACTGAATTTCAGGCACACAATAAATGGCCACATTTATGGCCATTCACACCATGTCACAGTCACATGATTGTATTTTATGGTGGTTTTATGAAAATGAGAACTTCTAATTTTTGGCAAAACTGTACGGATAGTGAACTGTTGATTTGCTTGATGACATCCATGTTTAAGGCTTAATAAGAATTGCAAAAAAGATTGCACAATTGGGTTGGTCACATGCCTGGTCTGTTTTACAACTGTTATGTCCTATGTTCTGTTATGGTTGTATGTTAACCTGTAACAGATTCATCCAAATGAACAGAAAAATGATCAGAAAAAAAGGTGTACAAACATAGTACTGCAATTATAACATTAGAAATAAAATGTGCAATCTTGTGAATACCTGCCTAGCTCTCATTCTTCACACCTTGATTTTCATAGCAAAATTCAAGTCTCTACAGTCACTGAGCTGAGTCTTTTGTTACTACTTCAGCAGTCAGGTATACCAACCATTTCCAATGGAGCAATTCAGTACGTGAACTTGACCAAATGCAGAACACAAAAGCAAATTGCATGACAAATGATAATAGTAAAACCACGGATTGTTCTCAAATCCGCTTAAAGCAGCTTAATGAAATAGCTTCAGGAAACACACAGCTTTTTCTGGCAGCAGAAGTTAAGGGAACAGGTTGAGATGAACTATATCCACATATATTGAGCAAGAATGTTAGGTTTTCATTCAATTAGTTAATTTAATTTTAAAAACATGATTTTTAGAGACTGTGAATGCATTAGTGAAAGCATTAGACTGAGATTAGCAAGGAAGAAGTCCTGTTCTTCATTCAAGAGGGAATTTATTTTGTAATCTAAACACAAAGGCATCTGTCTCTGCAGTGAAGTGACCCTGCAGTACTTGAAGTGACACTGCAGTACTTGAGAATCATTCTGGAAAAAAAACCTGAAGATAAGAAGTCCAATTTATTTGAGAAATCCTAAAGTGCTGCTGGGAGAAAAAAAAAAGATAATCACAAATTGCCTTCTTTTCTTAGTACTAGTGGTAGAATTTCTGGACAAAGCGGTTGGCTGGTAACTTGTAAGAAGAGATTTGTGTCAGTATTTGTGAATGAATGACTCATAAATATTTATTAAATTTTATACAATTCCTCTCCACTATGCATATTTCTAAGAATTCTTTCCACTTCAACTTTGTTTTTGAATGCCCATATGGTTTCATATCTGTTCTACGTATTCAAGATGTGTTACTTTTCATCTCCTCCTTTTCCATCTCTTGAAAGGTTAGAGAGTGGGTAGATTAACTCTCTGTTTTTCATTATTTTTATTTTAATAAGACTAATGCTAGTGCTATCATTTCTCTACACAGCTATGCAGCAGGTCCTGGACAACCTCAGTGACCTCCCCAATTCCATGGGAGCTGGAGATCTGGATCTCATCTTTCTCCGTGGCCTCATGGAGAGTCCAATAGTAAGGTCATTGGCTAAGGTACAGTTAAATGGGTAGCTAGGGATGGGATTGTAGCTGAGCAAATCCTGCACCTTCAGTTCCACTCACTTTCACTACATCCCAAACTTGGCAACTGTAACACTTGTGGACTTCAATAGCTGGCTGGAGAATTCTGAAAACCCACAAGTCTTAACGTTGCCAAGTATGGAGACCTCTGCACTACATCACTTACTCTTTCTCAGTCTTGGCCATAACACATTTTTCCAAATAGTTGAGTTGACAATTTCCCCTATTCCTTTGTCCCTCCTCTGTCCTTCCTTCCTCATGAATAAATTTGTACCTTACATTCATTAAAAAAAATCATTCCATTTTGTTTATGAATATAATTATTAATTTTGATAACTGCTTACTGAAAAAAATCACTATTTACAGCTGCAGAATCTATTCTTAGTGGCAAGACTAACCAGGAAAATGAGAATTACAAAAGAAAGCAAGCTGCTCTTGGAACAAAAGAGTTATAATGTACTGTCCATATGCAAAATCATGTTTAAGAGTTTCTGAACTTATAGAATCCTGGATGATGCCAGTTTGGTGATTCTGCAGTATCTCCTCTCATCTTCTCTCCTAGGAAATTACTTATTGATTCAGAAATTCTTCATAATTTTATCTAAATCTTTCCTTCATACTAAGAAAGACTATTGATTTTTGCTGGCCTTTTAATGCTTGATCCACCACTTCTTTCTGTTCTTTCCCGCCATCTTCAACAATTACCATTAGATTCCCAGCATTTACTGTGGTAGCATACATTTTTTTATTTGTAACTTTTCCTAGAAAAACATGAAGCTGAACTCAATAACTAGATGGGTAATACCAGTAGTTGCACTACTTCTGTTTTGTTGACAACAATGTGGAAGTGGTTTGTCATTGTCTGCTCTGGTCTGTTTTAGACTTAATTTATTTTATAGCCTGTGAGTTCTTGATGGGCTCCCAACCAAGTACTAACCAAATCTTTGGGTTTTTTTTAGATCAGCCAAAATAATTTGGTATGGTTGTTTTTAGCCCATGCTGTTTTGTTTTGTGTTTTAAACTGTTTTAGTTGTATATCTTGTAAGATGTCTAGAATCTATTGGAATAGGTGGTGACAGTACATTTCATAAACTGTCATTTTCCTCTTCCACCATCCTGAATGTTGGCTCATGATTGATAGATGAGGTGATTTTGTGCCATCATTTTTTATTCCTAGCGATCATAAAGGTAAATTTTCTCTGTGACAATCTGTTCTTTATATGGTCTTCCAAGTCTCCCAATGGTGTGCTCTTCACACTATAAGTAATCTATCTACCTTGCTCCTGTCTATCCACTTCACTTTCCTTCTATTTTTCTTAACATTGGAGCCTTTTCCAAAGAGCTAAGTCTTCGCAAAATATGTGAAGTGCTCTTTTATATCTTGAATTAGAACTCTGAATCTCAACGTGCTACCAGTATTACAACTAAAATTAGAATGGGAATTTATGACCATCAGTATATTGCTAATTACAATTTTCAGAAGTTTTCACAATTAAACAGGCTAATCGGGACTGCGGGGAGTTATTGTTTAGCAAAATCCGGAGAGCTACTTCCAAACCTAAGATAAAACTTCCAAGCAACCTAGGTCCTAGAAGACTCCTGCCCAAAAAATGATTAGAACTGAATTGTTGTCTCTCCCTCTTTTTCCGTTATTCATTTCTGCCCCTCTTGTTTCCTGTAATTAACGACTCCAGATTTGCACATATTAGAAGCCCTAAGAAATACAATATAATGAAAGAAAAATAAACTCCTATAAGTAATACAGTATATGGTGAAAGGCAAGCAGCAGTTGATCTATTGTTGGTCTTTAAAGGAATGTTTAAAATGTTTAACCTATCAGTCTGAATCCCTGAGGCCAGTATTTCTCAACCTTGGCAACTTTAAAATGTGTGGACTTCAGCTTCCAGAATTTTCCACCAATGTTGTCAAGAGTGAGAAACATCCCTCTGATTATTTTGCTGTCCCCTAAGAAGACTCCAGGTGATTTACAGTGTCATACCTAAAATCAATAAAGTAATTGCAAAACAGTAATCATTAACCACCCTGTTATCTGTTATTCCAGCATCAGTGCTTACAATTCAAAATTAAAAACATAAACGCCTTTCTAAAGACTGTCACTGGGGAAAAAATGAAAAGGAAAAAAAATATGCCCTGTGCCCCCCATGAATCCTGGGGGGAGCCTCAATATCCCTCAATACATCAGCTCTGCCTGAAAGAGATGGTAGTTTCTTATGGTTTAAAATCCATAGATTTGGACTCTACTCAGAAGCCTATTGGTATTCACAACAAAATCAGTCTTACATGGCTTTTTTTTTTTTTTTTGCACTAAAGGCCAGCTTTTACGCAGTCTTCAGAGACAGCCTCAACTTGACTATGTTATAGTAGTCTAATCAGTAATGAAGGCATATGTTTATTTCCACCAAGGCTTCCAATTCCAGAAGGGCTGCAGCTCACCCATCCTCAGAATTTGTCAGCAAAGGCTCTCCTAACCATGGCTTCCGTCTGCCTATCAAACAGTAGCCCTGAGTCTAGCAGTACTCTCAGATGTGTGGTTGCTTTTTTAAAGAGAGCGACACCCCACCCGGTGGCACAGCTGAGCTGGAAGAAAGCCATTTGGTTTTGGAATAAATAACACATATCTCACAAAGATTCAACTTAAGCTTGTTCCTTCCCATTCAATTCTTCACAGACTTCACACACCTGATTTAAGGCCCTTCTGCATTTGGTAGCTTAACCTGGAGTAGAAACTAATATCTGCATATCATTGACATACTGATAACTTCGCTGTGGATTAATAGATGACCTCTTGCAGCTTCTTCAAGTAGACTTTTATGTGATGCTGTGAGCAGGCTGGGAAAGAAGTGCAAAGTAGAATCCATATGAACAATCAAGAGATAGTCGACTGCTTATCTCTTAAATTGCAGTGCAACAGGAAACCTGGAAAGAAGCATTTTAAACCATCTCAAAAAGAGTCTGTCCGAAAGAGGTCATGGTAATGGGGGTGGGGAGGGGGAGTGAGTCACATTGTAAGCTTGAAAATGAACTTTACCCGTTCAGTCAAGCTCACTTCATTTGGTAAACCAAGCAGCGTCTCAGAATAAGCGAAAAAAGAGAAGCCATTTCAGAATTTGACCTGTTGAATTGCTAGGAAAATCCCTAAGGTCTGCTAAAATCTGTCTCAGTCCACGAGGCTTCAGGGATGGACCATTTAATTAGTCCTTTGATCTTTCAAATATTATCAGGGGTGACAGAAAGTGATCCAAATACTGCAAATAATTCACAAACTGCATCTTCAATTTTCAGATGACACATCAACTATTCTGAGATGAAGTCTGGATTTATCATCCGGCTACCACTGTGAATCAGGCTAGAGATTATTTGGAACAAGTTCATAATAGTTATGCAGGCCTTGAGCTCCTAAATCTTCTCAGCATCTCCATCCTCATCCCAAAGAAGTCAATACCTAACAACAGTGTTTCTCAACCTCAGCAACTTTTAAGATACATATGGACTCCAACTTGCCAGCATGCTGGAAGTCAAAATTCACACATCTTTAAAGTTGTTAAGTTACTGGCCTAGAAGACTCTAAAGTCCTCCCTGGCGTTTTCCTATTAAAAATAATGGAAGTGTTCTGACAAAATGATATTCTCCCTGTGTTCTAGGTGATCAGTTTCCTGATCCTCAAGCATTGTAGGGTTAGGATGAAGAATTGGTCTTTATTCAACCAAATAAATGCAGCAGCAAAATACTTCAGGATTTTCCTGCACTTATTTTGGCACCGAAAATGGTTCCCAGACAGGATTCATATTAAGCCTGCTCTTTTTACCCTCCCCCAATTTCCATGAGTGAAGTTAAGCCTCTATTTGCCAGTCTATTATTTTTAGCTCCTCTTTTGTATCTGTTTCCCTGCTTGAGGCTTATCTAGAGCAGCTATTCATCTTCCATAAAGCAAAGACCTGTTTGATTTCTGGCTACACGCCACCGAGGGCCAGGAAAAGCTCTCAGTTGTCTCACTGTTCCCCTTGCTGTGTTTCTGAGCAAGTGGGTTGTGTGTTTCCATACAGAAGAGTAGTTACTTGGCTTCTTTTTCTTTATAACATGCACAGCTCATTCTTTGTGTTTGTCTTCAGAAAGACTTGACAAAAGCTTGACGGGTACCCACTGCGTAAAGCTATTTAATTCTAGAAATCTTTATAAGACCTCTATGCTTATTTTTTTTTTAAAAAAAATCAACAATCCTTAAAAGTGATGATCTTGTAATTTTTAGGCAACCCAAAGAATATAACTTAATATCCTTACATTATCTGCCGGGACACAAGGCTGTAGGAGGTGGACAAAGGGTTTGTGTGGGTTTATCTGTTTATGTGTCCCTTTAATCCCTTCTTTTTTGCCCTTTCTCCATCTACCTTGCAGGCTCATGAGCGTCTGGAGGAGACAAAGCTGGAGGCTGTGCGGGACAACAATTTGGAGCTGGTCCAGGAGATACTTAAAGACATCACACACATTGCTCAGCAAGATAGCACAGCAGCTGAACTGGCCCGCATCCTCCAGGAGCCCCACTTCCAGGTAAGAGTGGGGGAGGGAGGAGAAAATTGGGGAACAGAGAGAGAATTTCAGAATTTTTGTATGTTTTTGTTGATTTGTTTGTAGAGTATTTGGAAGGATAAGGAACAAAAATGGTACAATTAGATAAATTAGGTAGATTCTGGACTTCGTAAACTTATAGGGGGAACCTCTTGAAATTTTATTACATTTAGAAGCCTTCTGTTCCTGCTTAGAAATTGCCTAGATTTTGCCCCGAAGTCTATTCAAAAAGGTTATATCTGTATATGTATTAATCAAAGAGAGAGAAAAAAGGGGACAAAAGCAATAAATATTAGCCACTGTGTTT